GTAATAGCAAATATGGATAATAATGACGTTTGTGTCAGTAACAGGGGACATGGATAATGATGGAGTTTGCATTAGTAATAGCAAATATGGATAATAATGACGTTTGTGTCAGTAACAGGGGACATGGATAATGATGGAGTTTGCATTAGTAATAGCAAAAATGGATAATAATGAAGTTTGTGTCAGTAACAGGGGACATGGATAATGATGGAGTTTGCATTAGTAATAGCAAAAATGGATAATAATGAAGTTTGTGTCAGTAACAGGGGACATGGATAATGATGGAGTTTGCATTAGTAATAGCAAAAATGGATAATAATGAAGTTTGTGTCAGTAACAGGGGACATGGATAATGATGGAGTTTGCATTTGTAATAGCAAAAATGAATAATGATGAAGTTTGTGTCAGTAACAGTGAAAAAATGGATAATGATCAAGTTTATGTCAATAACAGCAAAAATTGAATAAGGATGAAGTTTGTGTCAGAAATAGTAAAACATGGATAATCATGTAATCTGCATCAGTAGCAGCAAAAATGGATAATTTATTTATGCATTTACAAGAACACTAGTTCTTCGCATAGTATGCAGCGCCACCTGTATTCGTAACGATACTACGATCGGTAGACCGGTGCATACTCTTGCTAAATTGCACGTACCTCCGTCTCTAAACACAAACACACAGTGCGACTCGTTTCAAAATAGATCATTCTCAGAACCGCAGTAGTCACGTCGCGTCAGGCGATGGTCATACGTCGGCGGGTTTTCCTAGATGGCGCTACCGTCTCGCTTTCAGCGGCAATCACACGGCGGAGTCGCCGGAGGACACGCTGGAGGACGAGGTGGCGAGGTACATGGAGCAGACACCAGGTGGCGACGCGAGCACGCTGCAGCTGAAGAGCGGATCGCGTGAGAGCCTCATGTCCCCGGCATCTAGCGGCGGGGGAGTGTACTCGGTGAGTGCTAACATGTCTGCTGTGGGTGAGGGGGAGTGTTAGGTAGTGGGTGCTGTGGGCGTTAGGTAGTTACTGCTGGGGGTGTGGGGAGTGTACTCGATTAGTGCCTGTGGGGGTGGGGGAGGGTGTTGGATAGTGAGTGCTGGGGGGGAGTGTACTCGGTTAGTGCCTGTGGGGGTGGGGCAGGATGTTAGGCAATTACTGCTGGGGTGGGAGAGAGTGTCAGGTATAGTTACTGCTGAGGGTAGGGCGTCTGTGTTAGATAGTGACAACAGTGTCCTGCAAACAGCATCCCTGCTTGTGTATCTTCTCATGGAATGGCACAGTCATAAACAGACACACCAGGCACACGATTCCTCCCAAATGTCAAGACAGTTCCATCACTTACGCCTCGTGTTAACCTGTTGGTCTGTAGAGCCAGCAGGCCTTTCTCTCGTGATGAGCGTGTGGTGTTGTTTCGCGCCATTGCAGCAAGAGCTATTGGACACGTTTGCGTTGAACGTTCACCGCATAGACAAGGACGTGCAGCGCTGCGACCGCAACTACTGGTACTTCACGCCCGAGAACCTGGAGAAGCTGAGGAACGTCATGTGCACGTACGTACCATCACGCTGCACACCTTCCCGCAGTCACCGACGGCTGTGTAGCTGCTATATACCTGCCGTACCACACCTTTACCCAGAGCTGTAACTGCCTCTCCTAATGTCACACCTTCCCGCAGTCACCGACGGCTGTGTAGCTGCTATACCTGTCGTACCACACCGTTACCCAGAGCTGTAACTGCCTCTCCTAATGTCACACCTTCCCGCAGTCACCGACGGCTGTGTAGCTGCTAT